TTTCTGATTGGTATTGATGCATTTCTGATTTGCTGATTGCACAGTTTTGTTGCAGACCAAAATGGCCGTCATAGTAAGGAGCTCCCTTTATAGGGCCAATTTAATATTTTCCAACTGATAACATAGACAAATCCACAGCGGGGATACTGAGAGGACTAATGACTCTTTAACATGTAGACACATTGAGCAGGGCAGATGACGACTCCTTCCAAAATCAATACCTGCAAAAACCAATCAGATGTCAACAATTCCATAACTCTCAGTCGGAGTATTTTAGCAAATCGTACGGTCAGCATGTGGTCACATGACTCCACTATGGCGCCTTTACGTGTAGAATGAGAAACTATTCTGGGTGAGATGCATTTGATATGGAGGAAGTCAGCGGTGGTTAGATTTCCACTGTAACGTCATCTCGTGTTCCCTGGGGTGGTCAACGTGTCCCGGCGTGTCTTCCCCTGGCGGCGCTCAGTCATCTTGTGCTTTCTGTAATCTGTCATTGGCATTTTTAACACATTATTAAGATAAAACAAATGCTATAACCTGGAGTAAGCGGAATTCACCGTCCACCAGGGTGGAGCAGATGAGCGGAGAGGTGTGTTGGGGAAGGTGAAGACGGTATATGAATCTACTGCACTGCAGAAGAAATATCTTCCACCGTATTGTTACTGTTATGGTCACCATGTGTCACTCTTTGGATGGGAGTCTTGTAGCCCTGATGAAGCTCCTTGGGACCCCCTAAAACGCATTGGGATTTTTAACCAAATACAACACCATATAAAATTCTTCCAAAGTGGTGCTCTCTACCTTATTCTTCTACTACAAGAACCTGACCAAATCGTCCTGTACATTGGAGAGCTACCTGGAAAACGATCCGCCTTGAAATAAACCAGCCAACCAGAACCCTTATAATAGCAAGAGTTCCAGAGCTCCTCACCTCCCCCTTTTCTCAGGTTCTCTCAGGGTGTTCCCATTGAAGACATTTCTGCTCACTTCCTTTCCAGGGTGTCAAACAGAACAGGAAGTGAGAAGAAATCTCCCGGGAAGCGATACGGACTGGGTCTGTAATAAGCTAAAAGAAAAAAAGATGTGTTTTGGCCGGAGCGCAGCTTTAACCTGAAGACGTTCCCGTCTGGAATGCTCAGGCGTATTTTTAGTTTTAGTTTTTCATCTCGATCTAATCTTTTGGCAAATCAGATGTTTATGGTGTGGAGACATCTCCTGAATGCTGTCCTCAGGTACCCCGAGCAAGACCAGCAGTTCATTCAATGTACAATTCAATAGTGGGAGCCCCTCATAATGGGCACAGCAGGTGTACAGACCCAGGAACTCAGCTCAGGGATGGTGGGAAACCCTCATAATGGGCACAGCAGGCGTACAGACCCGGGAACACGGCTCAGGGACGGTGGGAGCCCCTCATAGTGGGCACAGCAGGTGTACAGATCCAGGAACTCGTGTTGTGCTCCTTATAAGGGGCTCCCACCATCCCTGTGCTGAGTTCCTGGGTCTGTACACCTGCTGTGCCCATTATGAGGGGCTCCCACCATCCCTGTGCTGAGTTCCTGAGTCTGTACACCTCCTGTGCCCATTATGAGGGGCTCCCACCATGCCTGTGCTGAGTTCCCGGGTCTGCACACCTCCTGTGCCCATTATGAGGGGCTCCCACCATCCCTGCTGGATTTATATTTATTTTAATCTGCAAAATGAAGTAGGACCACACCAAGGTTGACCCACTCGAAACCTGTTTTGGGCGATCTGACCCTTCAAGGAAAGCATTTGGGCACACAGCGTTACCTCTCGGGGTGTCAGGGCATCAGGGTTAACGTCTGCTGATAACAGGGAGCGATTGCGAGGTGTGGCGGAGCGCTTATGTACACAGCTGCCTGTCAGGCTGTCATAATATTTGTGGCAGGCGAGCGTGGGGGCGGACAGTTCACTCTGCAGCCCTGTAACTGATCTAAAATAAGTGACAGTCAAATCTTCCACCTTGGGAGGTCTCCACGCAGTACACCTCTGAAGTTCTGGCGAGTCAGGTGACGGCTCCAGACAACATTTCCTTAGATAATCCTGAGTAGTGATGGGCTCGGGCGTGTTCGCAGCTCCACGTGCCGAGCCCGCCAGGAAGCTGATAGCGCCGCAAGCGCCAATCACAGGTACTGAGACATTATCCCGGTCCGCAGCTGCAGAGATCGGGAAATGTATTAGTACCTGTGATTGGCGCTGTCAGCTTCCTGGCGGGCTCGGCACGTGGTGCTGCAAACAGGCCTGAGCCCATCACTAATCCTGAGAAGAGGGAAGCTGTTTTTTGGGGGGAGATTTCACCTCACTTCCTGTCCCTGTGGCGGCAGCGGTTGTCGCAGTCACGGAAAAGAACGGCCTGAGGTTCTAACCCGTCTATATTGTGTCTGTGTATTGTGACATGTCAGGTATTTATGCTGTAAATCTACTGACAGGTGACAAAAATGGAGGCGATTTAAACAAATAATAATTAAGTGAATGTTACATAGTTTGTCAGGTTGATAAAAGACACAAGTCCATCGAGTCCAACCTATAGAGATACAAAGAAGAAAAAAAAAAAAATAATAAAAAATATCCGTATTATATATCAACGCCCACTTCCTACTGCTCAAGGGGGGAAGGTCAGCTAAGAAATACACATCACACACTGTAGGTTAAAAGAATATATTGTGCAAAGAATTAAACAAGCACAACTTTGATTTTAGACAAAGAAAAGATTACAACGAGGACATAATAAATAATTTCTCCCGGATTGCTGCCACAGGAACACCAGCGCAGCAATATTAAATAACAATACTAAACCAGAGAAGAAACAAACTCAACACCTGTACACAGGGGCGTCCCGAGGCAGGGTGTCACCCAGACCGGGTATCGGGTGACACCCAGCAGTGACAGCATTGCACATGCGCGTGACGACGTCACACACTGTTACCTGCCAGCGACCATCCTAGTGATGGACGCCGGCTGAGAGAGGAGGGGACATTCACCCAGCGGGATGAGATATGCCGCCGGGTCCCCTCTTCTGTCTCGAGCAACTGTCGGGCTCTGGGTCCATGACTGAGTGCCCGGCTTTTCAGAGGGGGCGACACCAAAATGACTGTCAGTCATTTTGGTGTCACCCCTCCAATGGTGTCCCCCGGTTGCGGGCCAGACCCCCCTAGAGACCCCACTGCCTGCACAACACATAGGATCTCATAAAATGGTTAGCATAACTCGTCAATTGGATGCCTGTACAGCATATTACCCATCCTGTAGGATTACACAGTGTCTGGACTGTGGGTTCCCCCGATGGCCTCCCCAAAATAGTTCCCTCCAAAATGGCTTCCTTGCCTGTGATGGCCTCCCCAATGGCACTGGCCTATCCTCTCCATCCCAGCTACCCTCATTCACTATCATTAGGAACCCATGATTGGTCCACAAAACCTAACCAGAGCTATCTCAAGATAGTGATTGGATGGCAGCTTAACTCTCTTTCGTCTAATAACACCAAGGTGGGTCCGAGCCAGTTCGGCTTCATCCTGGACTGGTTGTCCATTTTAACATATCAAGGTGGCCATTGATCTCAAGGAGACAAAACATAAAATTTCTGCCCTCAAAGACCAAAAGGGGAGATCTCCAATGGCAAATGAGCATACTAACAACCAAGGGGGTAACTAAAAATCACAGGGCCCCATAGCAAAATTTTGTATGGGGCCCTGTGATTTCTAGTTATACCCCTTGCAGAGCCCACTTGAGATCCCACACAGCCCATCCTGAGGGTGACGCTGCAGAGCCCACCATAGACTCTATGGTGGGCTCTGCAGGGTCTCAGGTGGGCTGTTCACACTCCTTACCTGTCCGCCTCCACTTTCTCCATGGTCGCTGATGGGCCCCGCCCCCTCCTCTATCACCGGGCCCGCCTCCTCCTCTGCTGCCGACCCCCCCTGGGCCGGCCTCCTCCTCCACTGCCAGGTCCAGCCTCCTCCACCACCGCTGCTGGCTCCCACTGACTCAGCAGCGGCTGTGGAGAGGAACGCACCACTACACAGATAACTGTCAGTAATCTGAACAGCGGCGCGTTCCTTTTCACAGCCACCAGTGACAGCCAGCAGCATGAGATGCCATAGCGACTCAGGCGCCCGCACGGCATCAGGGATGTCCTGGCCGGGCCCCCCTGTGCCCCGGGCCCCATAGTGGCCGCATGGGTTGCTATGGTGATTGTTACGCCACTGTAACGCACAAATCCTTCAATTTACACTGAGTGGCCAGATTGTTATGACCACCCCATCTGTACTTCGTTGGGCCACGAGATGACTCCACGAGATGACTTAGTTGGGCCGCCTCGTGACTCTGCGAGATGTTGAAAGATGATGCGAGGAATCTGACACTGCACTGTTGCCCTTCTGTTGTCTTGTACCAGTCTTGCCACTCTCCGTTCTGCCCTAACATTGACTAGTCGCTGACGGCCACAATTCGCACGTTCAGACCCAGATTTTCGGCTGACAGTCCAGTCTTTAAACACTTTAACAACAGCTGCTCTGAACATTTAACAAATTCTGCTGTTTTGCTGATACTCGCTCCATGGCTCGCGCCAACAATCATCCCACGTTCAAAGGCTGTTAAATCGCGTTGTTTCCCCATATCTTCAGAAAACAATCACTTCTACTGTCGTGGTCCTCTTTAAGTGTAGTTCTGAGTCTCTGTGCGGAGTTCCTCCATTATATGAAGGGGGGGGGTCTTGGTTTGGTATGATCTGCGTTGTCACATTCGGAGTGTTTATCGGTCTCGGAGACGGCATGGAAGGGGAAGTGGCTTTGGACTGGAAGTTGTGTCTCTTATGATAACAAGCGTCCCATTTGATTAAATACAATGTTTATTCCCCCGCAGTCCGGCGTCCAGGAGTGACTGGCGGAAATGTATAAATATTTATAGAGGATGGCTGCCTCATCCTGTGTCACTGCGGAGGCTCCCTGGCCCCTCTGACCTTCTGTCTTTATCTGTTGTAGGAGCCGAGTGGACGCCACTGCTGGGACAGAAGAGACATGCTGGACGAATGGCTGGGTGGGATGGACGGCTGCGCGGTGACGGGAGCGCTCACCTTGGGCTTCCTGGGGCTGCTGTACTGGTGAGTGTTCTTCTGAGAAAAGGGTGAAATGTGCGGCCTCCTTATAGACCTCAGGAACAGAATTTTCTGCCTGTGTTCTCAGCTCCGCCCACCTGCTGCAGCCAATGGTCAATGTACTTGCCCTGGTGGAGTTTAAATTTGTTCTGCAATGCAGCAGGAGGAGTGAGACTCCATTGGGGACATGCAGCAGAGGCAGACATTGCAGTGTGGACAAATATGGATCCGTTTTCAGAAACGACATTTTAAAGGGCAGTGCCAGGCCAGTGTTCATTCTGTGATTTATTAAAGCGATCCAGGATGATGCGGTGCAGACGTTAGTATGATAATTAGTGGGCAGATTGCGCATAGTGTTTCAGGAGAAGATTGGGGCCCCGTTCTGTTGTGCCAGATGCTCCTTCTTAGAGCTGCAGGGGGTGGAGCTGGAACCAAGGAACACACTGGCTGAATTTTCAAATCCAGTGCCGTTTTGAGTATGAGGCTACTGGCAATTTCGGGGACGGTAGGCTATATTTATAAGGGGTTGAATTATAAACAATTTGCTGGTCTGTTCACAGTATCGGTTTCCATTCACCCTGTGTGGCTATATGCACAAATGAACGTTCTGTAGTTTTTTCCTTTTACAAGTGTTATTAAATTTGAATGTTCTGATTGTAATATCTCAATATGGCCTCTAGATGGAGCTGATGAGCATCAATACTTATTTCCTGTGCCCCTTTAGAACCATCTAGTGGCCATACTGTGATACGACAATCAGAACATTCAAATTTAATTGCATCTTTTTTTTTTAAAAGGACAGTCCACTCACAAGAGGTATTTCACTTATTAATGGACACTAACAAGATGAAGCATCCACAGATCCTGCTGCAAAATATGTCCAACTTGCCATCTTTCACCGTGGAGCCTCATTCCTCCTGCTGCATTCCCTGCGACACAAGCAAAATTCTATGGGGAGAGTGAGACCTCCTAGTAATTGGTGCAGCAGATGGGCAAAGCTGTGAACTCATGCTGTGGTCTCCGATAGGAAGCCAGCAGATGCCTCAATTCTCCGGCATCTCTCCATATTGGAATAGTGGACGGCTGGGCAGACCCTTGGTGGAAACAGAATTAGGTGCTTGTATGATGCTTGCTGAGATGACCACCCCCCCTCAATCGCTGGCCTGCATCTTGGTCAGAATGATTTAACTCTTTCCACTGCTAGAGGACATGATATGCTTACCCAGAAGCCTCTCTGCCTGTTCTCTCTGGTGGCTAGGCAGGACACAGCGGGGGGTAGTACGTCGGCCGGGCCTCCCGCTGACTTTGCCGCAGGTTGATTCTGATACAGCCAGACAAGCATGAATCAAAACCCGCCATGTCCATGTAGGAGATGAGGTCTGGGCGGACTGCGTTCCCTGCAACGCAGCTGTGACTGAACCAATCTTCTCTCTCCTAATCCCCACATAAAGTCATTTTCTCATTTTAGTGCGGTATTGGTCCTCACTCTGCATATCGTCAGCACCTCGGGGGCCCTTCCAAGGACCACAGTCCTGGGTATTGGCATCTGCTGCTAAGCTATATAAGGAAAATTCTCACAAATTCAACCACCTAAATGTCTGGATGTTCTGATCTCCCGGACATTCGGCTTTCACAGATCACCGCCTCGGCTGAGGTACTTGCTCAGCGTTTGCTCGGTCTGAGTCGTTCAGGTTGGTGAGAATTTTAAGACCCCCCCCAATACACACTAGTCAGCCCATGGACTAACCATCCAAAGTTTTATCACTGAGGAAGTGGAAGTGTTATCTTGCATTAGGCCCCATTCCTACTTGAGTTGAACATCTTTAGGTGGTTATTTGGGCATTTTGCTGAGCATTTGTAGAGACCACCGGCTGAGGTACTTGTTCAGCGTTTGCTCAGTATGAGTTGCCGAGGTTGGTGAGAATTTTACTTTGATGACCGGTTCTCTTTCTTCAGGTACTCTGTGTCAGCGTTCTCTCAGTTGGAGAAGATGGGGATAAGACATCCGAAGCCGATCCCGTTTATCGGGAACGTCCTGCTCTTCCAGAAGGTCAGGTGCACTTATTCACCCTATAAGAACACGCTGAGCGATGATGTCACTAGGCAGCAGCCAATGATAGTGTTTTTAGGATCAGCGATAAAGTCAATCTTTAATCCTGTCATTGTGTGTGCAGGGATTCTGGGAAGGAGCCTGTGAGATGATACGAACATACGGACCGATTACAGGGTGAGGATCCATTGGATAGACTTCTGACTTTCTTTATATCTGCATTCTGCTCTCCGAGTCTTAAATCATTTTTGTCAAAACCATGTTCATAACTGTCAAAGTTTTGTCACATTCCTTCAGAGAGCGCTGCAACAGAGGAGCTTACACTCTAATGTCTGACCACAATCACACAATATTATTATTATACATTTATATAGCTCTGACATATACTATAGTGCTGCACAGAGAACACTGAGCCAGTCACATCAGTCTCTTCACCAGAGGAGCTTGCAATCTAATGTCCACCCACAATCACACAATATTATTATTATTATACATTTATATAGCTCTGACATATACCACAGTGCTGTACAAAGAGCACTGAGCTAATGACATCAGTCTCTGCACCAGAGGAGCTTACACTCTACTGTCCCCCCTACAGTTACACACTATTATTATTATACATTTATATAGCTCTGTCATATACTGCAGTGCTGTACAGAGAACACTGAGCTAATGACACCAGTCTCTTCACCAGAGGAGCTTACACTGTAATATCCCGCCACAGTCACACACTGTTATTACACATTTATATAGATCTGACATATACTATAGTGCTGTACAGATGGGCTGAACACTGAGCTATTCAGATAAACCTCTGCACCAGAGGAGCTTCTACTCTAATGTCCCCAACACAGTTACACACTATTTTTATTATTATTATACATGTATATAGCTCTGACATATTCCATAGTGCTGTACAGAGAACACTCAGCTGTTCATATCAGTCTTTGCATCAGAGATGCTCACACTCTAACGTCCACGACAATCGTACTAGCTATAGTAAGCAGGTAACCTATCAGAATTGGGCAGCAGATGGGACCATCTGCAGGATAATACATGGGGAGTACATACAAACTCCATGCAGAAACTCCCGTTCCGTTCTTATCGTTCTGTATGTATTATAGATACTACATGGGGCGGCGTCCGATGGTTCTGTTATCGGACCCGGAAGCCATCAAACAAATTCTTCAGAAGGACTTTGCAAGCTTTACTAACAGGATGGTGAGTAAGTGGAAAAAAAAGTCCTTTCAATAGGAAGTGTGTTCTCACTCATTGTGGCTTCGGAATGCAGGACTTTCTTGAGGAGTACACCACACTCCACCCAGGATGGTGAAATATCAGCACTCAATGCATGAGCAGAAATTTGACGGGAGTCTGTGTGTATTTTGTGAACTTCACCTCATTTCTATCCTATTAAAAACGTTTATTTGACATGTTTGTAATGTTTTTGATGTTTTCACATTTATTACTTGTGTTGTATTTGTCCTGATTATATTTCATGTAGTGATTTGTCACAACTAGAGGGAGTGTCTCATGATGTGCCATTGGTTTCTACCTTCAGGTATTGGGTTATTTTGTTGCCCTGTTGGGTCTTTCTAACCTTTTCTTCTCTGACAACCCAGCAGAAGCTGAACTTGGCAACGAAGCCGATGAGTGACAGCTTGCTGTGCCTGCGGGACGAGAGGTGGAAGCGCGTGCGCAGTATCCTCACACCCTCATTTAGCGCCTCTCGTATGAAAGAAGTAAGTCCCCCTCCCCAGATTATTTCTGGAGACCGCTGTGGGAGGAAGCGCTGGATTGTAAAGATAGTTGTATAGTTTAGGACAGGAGTGGTCAACTCCGGCCCTCCAGCTGTGGTGGAACTACAAGTCCCATGAGGCATTGCAAGACTGACAGTTACAAGCATGACTCCCAGAGGCAGCGGCATGTTACATAGTTAGTCAGGTTGAAAAAAAGACACAAGTCCATCAAGTTCAACCTATAGAGATGTTGGGATTTGTAGTTAAAGCACAGCTGGAGGGCCGGAGTTGCCCACCCCTGGTCTAGGGGCTAATTTTTGTGCATGTGGGTGTTATTGGGAGGATTCCCCATTCTTCTCATTCAGCCCGTGGATCTGAAAAAACACTCAGTGTCCCCCATCCACACTATTCAACCTGTATGTGGGAATTTCCCCCTGCAGGGCTATTATATTTTGACAGTGGAGGGTGTGCCACTGTCACAATTCCAGAACAGTGACTGCAACTGCTTGGCTGCAGATAGTGTTCTGCTGAGAATTCTCACACCGGCTCTTAGAGGGACTGATGGGGCCACACACTGGTTGAATTTTGGCCGAGTCCTGTTGACTTGACCAGTGTACAGCCAGCTTTGAGGGTTTATTTCCAGGGTTAGGTGAAGTGTTGGGGTTCTGGTGCAGAGATTATGTGCTCGGGTCAGGTTAACAATCAGCTTAGCGGTTGTGGTAATCTTTTGGAGTACCCTCAGTTAGGCCCCGTTCACACCATGGGGGCTCGGTTACGTGGATTTGTCCACGCTGAACCGCCGACAAAAACAACCCCATACATTGCTATGGGTAGCATTCATGCAATTGCGCGGGTCCGCGCAGTCCGAACTGCCTGCCGCCTTAAATGCTCCCTGAGCTATTTTTTTACGCTCATCAGCATGCATTCTATATGGATTTCAATGGAAACGTGCTGATCGGCGCATTTTTGGGCGTTTTTAATTGCGTTTCTGCACTGAAACGTGAATAGAAATGCCCAAAAACGCCCCTTTTAAAATTAACGCACAAACCGCGCTGAAACGCATTCGCCCTGATGTGAATGGGGCCTTACAGTGGTTTCTAGTGCCGGAAGCCCCACACCAGGAACTAGTAGTGCTGATCTCTCAGTGCTGAAGACAAACCTCTACAGAGAAGATGTCATCGGATTTTTTTTCTTCTAGGGCAAAATGAAATAAAAGCTGAGAAATTGCCCGCAGCATTTTTATAAACAGGAAAAAACTGTCCGAATCAATAAAAGAAAAAAAATGAGTATTTTATTTTTATCTGTCTGTGGCTGAACCTTTGACTTATATTTTGCTATGTCTGTCCTTTTCTCTCTAGATGTGCCCGCTGATAAACCAGGGCTGTGATGTGCTGATCAGTAACTTGCAGCCGTATGCGGACTCAGGAGAGCCGTGTAATGTTCAGAGGTAATGACAGGAGGCGTGTGATTGGCTGGTCAGGACACTATTTTTAGCCCACGGAGGATTGTACAGTATGTGTATGAGTAAAAGCTCGGATTGCAGGCCTTGGTCGCTGTTGGCGCCGGTATCTTTTGACGCAGATTAAGTGTGAAGATTCTTCTTAGAGGCTCCCAGTGGGGGATTGTCAGTGTGCAAAATGAGGGGTTAGGTTAATAATAAAATTGGGGGTAAGGCTGGGTATGGCTTAAAATAAACCATTTCATAAGAGCTATACAGGGCCGCCCTTTCTGACCTTCTGAAAATCCTAGTTTCCAACTGTTATGTTGCAACTGATTGCCTAGCTGCAGTGACCTGGCACACACATGCCAGTCAGTACCATCTGATAAGGTCTTCTGATCTCTCTTTAAATACTTGTTCTGGGTTAGTGACTCAAAGTATTGTGGCCAAAGGACCACCAGGCAACAGTGGCATCACCCAGGTGACACCATTGCAGGAGTGACACCAAAATGACTGGCAGTCATTTTGGTGTCACCCCCTCTAAAAAGTCAGGTTCATGGTCATGGATCGAGAGCCCGACAGAGTCTGGAGAGAAGGGCACCGTTGGCATACCTAATCCCGCCGGGTGAACTCCCCCTCCTCTCTCTGCTGGTGTCCATCACAAAGATGGCCGCCGGCAGGCGTCAATCAGGAGGCCGCGCATGCACGATGACTACACGGCAGGGTGTCACCTGGTCTGGAGACTGAGTGACACCCGACCTCGGGATGCCCCTGCGGGGCAACTAGCATTGTCAGGAGATGAGCTCAGGCTGACTGGTGAGCTGCCATCCATTTGCCTCTGCTATATAAGGGCTGAAGTCCTGGGTTTGGGATTAGTTGTTTAATACATGTGTTCATTCACTTCTAATTTCTTGTTCTTGTAGATGTTTTGCCTGCTATACGATGGACATTGTCGCCAGCGTGGCTTTCGGTACAAAAGTGGACTCGCAGAATGATCCGGATCACCCACTGGTGCAGAACAGCAAAAAGTTCCTGGAGTTATTCACTCCCTTCAAACCGTTTGTTCTGCTGACAAGTGAGTTAGGAAAGGAGCCTGAAAGGCAAATATCGGGGGTCTTATAGAAACATCCGGGCTCAGCCAGGCTCTCCTACATTAGGACAGTCTTTATCATTCTCCTGCTTTGCACAGATCCGCAGGGGAGGAGAGAAGGGGAAGACCCACCCACTTCCTTCTTATGTCACTGCACACTAAATGTAATAAAATAAAAGTACTTTTGGATCTGAGCCCTCATTATAAAGAAACGGTTACTTACTTAACCATTTATAACATTACTGCAGTCCTTTGTACTGGAGAACTGTCTGTGTCCCCACTGGGCAAATTCATCTTCTCTATTTGTCCTGGCGAAAACCTAGGGAAAGTCCATAATTTTAAGACGACACCAGAACATGACTAGAAGGGAAATCTTCCGGTGGTGACATTTGTTTTGGTAATAACTGTCTGAATTTTGGATATTATGGACAGAGAGGTCTGTAGCCATAGGAAAGTGCATCAGCAAACCTGAATGTAGAGAAGCAGCAGAGAATGCTGATGATGGAGCTTTGCAGGCCAGACGACTGCAGGAGTAGCGGAGCGTATGTGGAGGCACAGGAGTCATGGAGGTGCCCAGGGGTGCACTTGGAGACACAGGAGGCTCAGGGACACACCTGAAGACATGGGGTGCACTTGGAGACACAGAAAGCTCAGGGGCACACCTGGAGACACAGGGTGCACTTGGAGACATAGAAAGCTTAAGGACACACCTGGACACATGGGGTGCACTTGGAGACACAGGAGACTCAGGGACACACCTGAAACATGGGGTGCACGAGGGTGCACTTGGTGACACAGGAAGATCAGGGGCTTTTCACTCACTTCATAGTTCTAGCCGACCTGTGACAATGAGACTGTCACAGGTCGGCTCAGTAGATCGAGAAGTGAGCGAACACATACCGGCGTTCGCTCACCTCTCGATCCTGCCACGGCTTTCTGCTGTGACAGGGGAGGGGCTGGATTCCCCCCTCCCCGCTCCGATCCGCCAGTGCTGCTGGTGTCTTAGTTTTGTGAACCAGAATACCGTTCGGTGTGAGTAGGGATGCACCGATACCGATTTTTCGATATCGAGTACGAGTTTTGTACTTGCCGATACCGAGTACCGATAGTGGTGCTTCCGCAGCATGGAGCCGGCTTCCCGGGCAATCAGGAAGTCGGGTGGTGGGTAATGACATGTCGCACGGCTTCCTGATTGCCTGGGAAGCCGGCTCCATGTTGTTTGACCAGCTTGATTGTGATTGGCCGGAACGGATGGGGGAGGGGGCGGGTACAGCTGGCTCTGCCTCTAGATAGACAGGGCCAGCTGTCACTCATGGGCTAGGCGGATCCAGACAGAATTGTCGGGATCCGCTTCAGCTGCGGCGTCTCAGTATACCGCGAGCAGTAGCTTGCGGTATACTGTGGCGTCTCAGTATAACGCAAGCTGTCGCTTGAGGTATACTGAGCTTAAGGTGACGGGAGGACGCTAGTTTGTGTCCTCCCGTTGACCTAAGGAGAACTATTGGGAAAAGCCTTAACCCCATAGTTCTCCTTTAACTGAATGAAACCCAGACCCGAAGCTGGGTCACAGTAGCGGTAAATGTTACAATGGAGAGATTTCCTCTACTGTTGTGGGACACAGACGGTCAAAAAAAACCTTCAGGGGTTTTAACGCTATCTTACTCTATTCAAAACTATTTTAAAAATGTTCACTTTAGATATATACTCTAAATAATCAAAATGATATCATTTACTTAAAGGTTGACTTCATTTAGAACTAATATTTCAGTTTTGAATGGTTGCTGGTTGGGAAAATCATGAGCCTTGATATTTATGTCGTGTGATGGGGATTTGCCCACCAGAGTTCTTCCGCACCCATTACAGCCCAATTTTAGTGTCATGCCCGTCCCTTGGGTTTTCTCCATAATGTAAGGTGAACTGTAGTCTACCAATATTTGGCACGTGCCCCATCCCCCTCCCCCCAGGGGTCCTAATTGTGCTCCTGCATTGTCACCTTCTAACTGATAGAGACTAAAAGTGGCTGTTTTAATACACATTATGCAGGCATGGGCCACTATTGTCACCATCAGGAAACCCGCCTTGAGAAATGCCATGCAGCTATCGCTGGGATGCATGTGGACAGGAAGTGGTTACAGAAATTCAGCAGTATGGAGATCAAGCAAAAGTAGAGTATAAGCTGGAAACAAGGATTACATTTTTTTTTAAATTACAACTTTTTATGATACTCACAGAGCAAAGTAAATGTCACTCAGTCAGGGATTTTATCCACTTAAATTAATTAACGGCCCTTATTATTAAGTCCAATTTCTCTGTAATAAGTCTCCATCTCTTTTCTGGCTCCCCCAGTGGCGTTCCCCTTAATAATGTTTCCCATCGCCCGTCGCGTTCCCAACAAGAAACGTGACCAGATAAACAGCTTCTTCCGCAAGGCCATCAGGGAGATGATCGCCCTTCGAGACCAGCAGCCGGCTAACGAGGTACCCGGCGTCTCATTACTCGCTGCAGCCTTCTCTGTGACGCACTGCGCAGCTCAGGAGCAATAATTGGCTTCATTACGGGGATTAGCGAGCTGAAATCTGTTTGCTTTTCATTTTGTGTGGTAGCAGGATTCAGGGTGCAACCGTCTGACTGCATTTTAGTCTGGTCTGAAACAAAGGAGGAGGGAATCCCTGTATTTATGGAGAGACGCTATTCTTGTTTTCTGATGCAGGGAAGGATTCTGGATAACAAGACAAATATTTGTTTAGGAAAGAACTTAAAAGACAAAGAAAGGAGCAGCACTCACTTGTAAGGAAGCCATATAAATTTAATTAAAGCTGCAGTGGAAAAAGAAATTACATTTTTCAACTGCCAGCAATGTGTTTTGGAAATGGAACAACAGTCAAGTCAGTCAAATTTAAAGATTTACTGTAAACACATATGGGAGAGGAAATCTCTTTAAACTGTAAAGTGATTTTATATATACACTTACCTCTCTCCATGCTGCGTCCTCCCGGCTCCGTCCTCGCCGCCGCCGTCTTCAGTATGGAGAGCGGTGAGCAGAGCGGCGGGGGGGAAATGTAATCCTGCCGCTCCGTTTAGACAGTAAGAGGGGAGAGCTGTGCTCTTCCTCTCTCACCTGTCACAGGAGTTCCAGCACAGTACACATGAAGGGGGCCAGCCGAAGCAAGGAATGAGGTAAGTATTGTGTGGGGTCTCAGGTGGGCTATGCAGAGACTATGGTGGGCTGTGCAGGATTATGGTGGGCTCTGTGGTGGGCTGTGCAGGATCTATGGTGGGCTCTTCGGGGTCTCAGGTGGGCTCTGCAAGATCCATGGTGGGGTCTCAGGTGGGCTCTGGAAGATCCATGGTGGGCTCTGCAAGATCCATGGTGGGGTCTCAGGTGGGCTCTGGAAGATCCATGGTGGGCTCTGTGGTGTCTCAGGTGGGCTCTGGCTTCCTTGCTATGCTAATAGCTAGGGTTGCACAGATACCAAGTACAGTACTTGGTACAAGTACAAGTATAATGTACCGATACTTTTGAGCTCCAAGACTATACTAGAGAAAAATGGAAAAATTAGGAGGCAGCTGTCATTTGTAAGGAGCACACGGAGCTCCTGGGATTTGTACATCTCTGTTTTAATGTACGATTTTGTTTTTATAAAGGGATGCACAGATACCAGTTTTGCGAGTACGAGTACTGGTACTTGCCAAGTACTTACAAGTACGAGTACTGATACATTTTTGTTTATAGTCATGTGACAGTTTTTCTAAATCAATATAGACTAATGATTTCAGGACAGTGGTGGAGCGCCAGAGCCCGGTCCCAGCTGCAACCGCTGCAACCCTGGTAGTTCTCATGAAAATGCCAAGTATCGGCATTGGTACTCGAAAAGTATCTGTGCATCCCTACTAATAGCACAACCTGTCAGAAGCTGGATACTGACAGGTTACACAAAATGGAAGGGATGGGGCAAATTTAGACTGGAGGGGTGCTCGAGTGTTGTCTTGTCTAGGGCAGCACAAAACCTAAATACACCACTGGCTGTAGATCCTGAAATCATCTCTGAATTGGAGCTGACACTGTCCTTCCTTCTGGAGGGTGACTACTTTTGTTCCCCATGGTCCCTGTGTGTGTTGTGAAGTCGTCACCGCTGCAAGCTCACTCCTGTGATGGACTACAATCTCATGTTTAGTTTGCTAATTTGTATTGAGATTGTAGTTCATCACAGGAGTGGGCTTGGAGTGGTGGCTACTTACACATGCAGGGACCATGGGGAACAAAAGTAGCCCCCCTCCAGAAGGAAGGACAGAGTCAGCACCAATTCAGAGATGATTGGAGGATCTACAGCCAATCCTTATACATTTTGTTAGGTACTTGAATGTATTTTTAAGATTTAACTCCAGAGTTTGGGTGTCATTTTAAATGCTTGTTTTGTCTAGGCGTACAGTAATAGGGTATACTATTAAAGCCAAATTTTTTATTTTTTTTTCCTTTAACCCCTTCGTGACTGACGACGTACAGTGTACGTCGTCAGCATCGGGGCTGTTTAAACAGACTCCCGGTGACTTTTGCCGCCGGGACTCTGTAAGCTCCTGGGATTTGTACATCTCTGTTTTAATGTACGATTTTGTTTTTATAAAGGGATGCACAGATACCAGTTTTGCGAGTACGAGTACTGGTACTTGCCAAGTACTTACAAGTACGAGTACTGATACATTTTTGTTTATAGTCATGTGACAGTTTTTCTAAATCAATATAGACTAATGATTTCAGGACAGTGGTGGAGCGCCAGAGCCCGGTCCCAGCTGCAACCGCTGCAACCCTGGTAGTTCTCATGAAAATGCCAAGTATCGGCATTGGTACTCGAAAAGTATCTGTGCATCCCTACTAATAGCACAACCTGTCAGAAGCTGGATACTGACAGGTTACACAAAATGGAAGGGATGGGGCAAATTTAGACTGGAGGGGTGCTCGAGTGTTGTCTTGTCTAGGGCAGCACAAAACCTAAATACACCACTGGCTGTAGATCCTGAAATCATCTCTGAATTGGAGCTGACACTGTCCTTCCTTCTGGAGGGTGACTACTTTTGTTCCCCATGGTCCCTGTGTGTGTTGTGAAGTCGTCACCGCTGCAAGCTCACTCCTGTGATGGACTACAATCTCATGTTTAGTTTGCTAATTTGTATTGAGATTGTAGTTCATCACAGGAGTGGGCTTGGAGTGGTGGCTACTTACACATGCAGGGACCATGGGGAACAAAAGTAGCCCCCCTCCAGAAGGAAGGACAGAGTCAGCACCAATTCAGAGATGATTGGAGGATCTACAGCCAATCCTTATACATTTTGTTAGGTACTTGAATGTATTTTTAAGATTTAACTCCAGAGTTTGGGTGTCATTTTAAATGCTTGTTTTGTCTAGGCGTACAGTAATAGGGTATACTATTAAAGCCAAATTTTTTATTTTTTTTTCCTTTAACCCCTTCGTGACTGACGACGTACAGTGTACGTCGTCAGCATCGGGGATTTTATGGTCAACTCTTCTTCCTGAGGCTTCAGGTTTTGGGCGATCCCTCGCCGTCCTCATCTACAGTGCAACGATATTGATCCTGCATTGTATGAGATGACATTGGCATGAGTGTCTAAGAGAAGAGGCTTTCGGGGACCAGTCGCACAGATGGAGGGAGGCTGCTGGAACGAGGAATAAGGTAAGTAGTATAGCTTATTCCTATACTTCCAGGCTTAACGAAAATGTAACCCTTTCAGTGCACGGGGGGAGTTATAGCAAAGGTAGTTTTGTGTAATTCCTGGAGTCCAACCTATTATTTTCAAGCCATCTCATTCCATGCAAGGTTTATCTAGTGCTCATGTTTTGTGTCACCCATAACACTCAGGTCCTATGATTTTTGAGGGTGCTTGGCAGGTCACAGGAGCAGCTACTGACTATGAGCTATGTTTTTGTACTTGATTGAATTTTTATTTTTGTCTTGCTTCTTCATGCTTTGCTGAATTGTTTAGTGTTTCACACTTGGCTGTACATAAATAGTATGATAGCATTAAGCGGGAGATTCTGTTCTCCGTTTGCCTAGAGACGGCGAGATTTTCTGCAGCTCATGCTGGACGCCCGGGATGCAGCAGCACTCGTTTCCGTGGATCACTTTGACATCGTCAACCAAGCTGACCTGTCAGCTTCACACAGGGGAAGTGCGGAGGCACAAGGTGAGGAGACCACAAGGAAATCAACGAAGACGCTGGATGAGGATGAGATCCTGGGCCAAGCCTTCATCTTCCTTATCGCTGGATATGAGACCACCTGCAGCCTTCTGTCTTTCACCACCTACCTACTGGCTACCAATCCCCATTGCCAGGAAAAGCTGCTCAATGAGGTGGATGAGTTTGCCGAAACACATGTGAGTACCAAACGCTGGCCTTCAACGCTTCTGTTATAAATCTGAGAGACCAACAGTTTATTTTCTTTTATGGACAGTAAACGGAACCAATCATGACCCTGCGGCCAAATGTCCATTCTGGAAACTTCAGTTTATAATCTAGATACAGCCTAAAGATAGAGCCATTTATCCAACTGTCCATACAGAGCTGCTGGTCTATAGCCCAGATACATTCTAAATATAGAGCCATTTATCCAACTGTCCATACAGAGCTGCTGGTCTATAGCCCAGATACATCCTAAATATAGAGCCGTTTATCCAACTGTCCATAGCCCAGATACAGCCTAAATATAGAGCCATTCATCCAACTGTCCATCCAGAGTTGCTGGTCTATACCCCAGATACAGCCTACATATAGACCCATTTATGCAACTGTCCATCCAGAGCCGATGGTCCATAGACCAGATACATCCTATATATAGAGCCATTTATCCAACTGTACATCCACAGCCGCTGGTCTATAGCCAGGATACAACCTATATATAGAGCCATTTATCCAACTGTACATCCAGAGCCACTGGTCCATAGCCCAGATACAGCCTAAATATAGAGCCATTTATCCAACTGTCCATCCAGAGACACTCATTTATGGCTAGATATGACCATGAGTCAGTCCACAACAGAAATGGCTCATAAAATGGGAGTTTCACCCCTTGAGGTGAACCAGGTTTTTTGGGGCAGAATATAACTACTAGAACTACTGAAGGGGTTTTCTCTTTCTTTTGTCTGTATTCCCTTTGTTGTATCGCTATGACGAGGTTTCCATGACAAACCTCTGACATTCCTGTTGTGTTCTCCCGGCAGGATGGTGCGGACTACAACACTGTTCATGATCTGCCTTATATGGACATGGTCATCTCCGAATCCTTGCGCATGTATCCCCCCGCCTTCAGGTATGTTCCTATCCCCAGGGAAGTTTCTATATGATGCCGTCAGGGAACCCAAATTCCATCCAAACAGCACCACTTCCTGTGATCCTCAGCTCCGCCGAAGCCACAATAGACTGGTCCCGGGAAGTATTTTGATGAATTGGCGGTATTTTGTATTTATTCCAAATGATGGCATAGAAAATAGTGAGATCTCAGGCAAATCTTGGGAGCGTTCCGCACCAAAACGATCCATACTCATCAGCCTGAAGAGTAAACACCATGTGTGAAATGCGTCAGTTGTATGACTGCCAGCTCACCATTATGTATGCCGTGATTTGTAATGTATACAAATAACTCCAGTGCAGCAGGATAATCCCGGAACCAATCTTTTTATTTGTGCCCTACAGTGTTTGGCAATTCTGTACCTCCAGGGATACAACCAACTGGCCCATGGGTGCTGGGGGGGAATTTGGGTATATATTTCTGACTGGCCCATGGGGAAGGTGACTTCTGCTTGTCAAAATAAATTCAGAATCACTATTAAAATGTTTAGCATTTTACCTTTGAGTAAAGGTATTAACAAAAAACATTCCCCCCTTTGGGGCTGCTTAAAATAGGATGACACCCATGACAGGCACTTGGTAAAACATGTACCAGGTTCATCTGAGCTGAGATAAGGCCTGTGTACTTGGTAATTCTGCTGGTCTCCCCATACAAGTCAATGGAAATGCAAAATCACTTTAAAGAAGATAAGAAGCAAGTCAGAGGAAATGCAGAAGTATCTCAGAGGGATCTCAAATGTCATCTGAAGGCCATTGAAAGCTGCTGCATTTCCCCTTCTACACAACTCATACATTGTTCTTTCCCTGGACTGATGATGTATAGAACAGTAATAATACTCCATGCGTAGCACTAATCTGATCATATTCCATTGCTCTCAGGTTTGCTCGTGAAGCGGGTAGAGATTACACTGTGCTGGGGTGTAAGATAAAGGCTGGAACGGTGGTGGAAATTCCCATCGGCTGCATGCAAAACGATCCACAGTACTGGCCGGAGCCGGAGAAATTCACACCGGAGAGGTAAGGAGATCATGGAAGCGCTGTTTATAGCTGGTTTCTTCTTCGGCAAATTTGAGGCCTTGTTACTATAGGACTTCAGTGTGTGAAAGAGCAGTGTGGACAGCCAACTTGGTCAAAGCATTTGCCAGCTTCTGGCAGATTTGTTGAAGATTTTAGGGGCTGTGTGGACAGGCTTTGGGCTTGTATTGATGGCATCATTGTGACATTTATTTCAGATGCTTCTGAGAACTTTCATTGACAGGTGTAGTTGACCTTCTTCTGACCTGCATTTGACCATATTCTGACCTGCAGTTGACCATCTTCTGATCTGCAGTTGACCATCTTCTGACCTGCAGTTGACCATCTTCTGATCTGCAGTTGACCATCTTCTGACCTGCAGTTGACCATCTTCTGACCTGCAGTTGACCTTCTTCTGACCTGTATTTCACCATCTTCTGACTTGCAGTTGACCATCTTCTGACTTGCAGTTGACCATCTTCTGACTTGCAGTTGACCATCTTCTGACCTGCAGTTGACCATCTTCTTTCTGACCTACATTTGGTCATCTTCTGACCTGCATTTGACCTAAAAGATAACCACTGGCGCCAATTTAATACCGTACTTGCAGGAAGAGGGAGAACTCCAGCGATGCGGGGCAGCTCCTCAAAGTCAGGTAAACTGTGTATCTAGCAGAGGAGAAGCAAAAGGAGCGCCTCCATAGTGTAAAAACGACTTTATTGGATTATAAAAACAAAGAAAATGTACTCCCAAACAACCAATAAGAAAAGGCTTGTAATGGCAGGATCTCAGGAAAGCTGAGGACGGACGAACATCTGAGGCTTTAAAAGTGCAGGTGAAGAGCGGAGTCCATCTTGCTGCACATCCCCCTTTGCTTGATGCGTTTCTAGGGTCAAAGGGGTTTTCTTATTGGTTGTTTGTGAATACATTTCCGTTGTTTTTATAATCCAATAAAGTCATTTTGCTTCTCTTCCGCATTTGACCTGCTTGAAACAGGTTTTGCATTCCTATGGACTTTGCATGGCATTGCAAAACCTGTCTGACACCATAGACTTGTATAGCATGACAAAACCCTTTGACACGGGCCCAAAAGCAGGGGTAGCCAAGCTCTAGCCCTCCATCTGTTGTGAAACTACAAATTCCATCATGCATCTGCCTCTGGGATCCATGCCTGGAGCCCTCAGCGTTTTTCAATGCCTTGTTTGACTTGTAGTTTCCCCACAGCTAGGGAAAGGGGGGAGGTGAAGTTTGCCTACCCCCATCCTAAAGTAACTTCATCTCCAGTTTGGCGATGTTGAGCACAGCTTTTAGTAGGAGTGTTGTCACTTTAAACAAGCTATAAGTAGGCATTTAACAAGCTTCAAATAGTGTTAAAGTCTGCTAGCAGCTTGTTTAAAGTGGCAGCACTCCCATTAAGATCCGTTTTCAAACGGATCCTCTGGGTTACTCTTGCAAACATGAAACAGGAGCTCTGCAATCATCAGTCTCATCAGTACATCATCATCATCATCAGTACATCATCAAATGTATTTTTAAATGGAAGCAATGTAAGTACCTGACTGTGACCTGGTATGAGCCGCCTCTTGCAGTCCCCGTACAGCAGAGCTCTTACTGGAAGAGTGAGAAGCAGCACAGGTGACAAACCGTTAATGTGATGGCAAGAGGCATGCTAATAGGAGGGGAGAGCAGAGTGACAGATGAGCTCATCACTGTGCTGCTTCTCCTTCCACTTGCTAGTAACAGGCTGGGGTGGATCTCGGAGGAAGTGGGTGGCCTTCGGACTAAAGACATGTAGTGGCAGTCAAAAGTATTATTGCAGCAAAAGATGGTTTGTTTGGGGTTTTTTCTTTGTTTTTTTATGGGCTTTTCGTTTGTATCTTTTATTTGGCTGGCGTTCTGCTTTAACCACGTCCGGGTTTCACATAAATACACGTCCTCCGCTGGAAGCGGTTATACCAATTACATGGCTGCTGCTGCTGCAGCCGCTGATCTCTCCTCCAATCACTGGACACGGAAGTGAGCTGCATTACATCACTTCCGGTGTCACTGGGCACATTCTCCGCCTCTTAGAGCCAGAATAAGAAGCTGGTGAAGCAGATCTCTGCTTCATCAGCTTCTTTAGGGTCCCTAGGTGACATTAGGGGTCTGAAAGGCCTCTGAGGTCTCCATAAAGAGGACCTGTCACATTATATTTGCTGTTACATAGGGGGCTTGTTAGTTATGTGATGGCAATAAAGTTGAGTGTAAAAAAAAATGGTACAAATCAAAGTAACAAATGCAAAAAAAAAATATTTTAAAGTCCCCCGACACCCACATACTATGCAGACATGCGTCGAATGCGCCTACATGCAAAAACGAAAATTGTGCCGCACGTTACATATCGTCGCAAGCATCAGAGTGCGAGCAATAATTTTAGGCCAATCAATCACTGTTAGCACTAAACTGATGAGCCGTAAAAGTGACTATGGGAAGTTTAGGTTATTGTAGTTTTTTTGCGGTTTCAATGACATGTTTGGTGTCTATATACCCGGCGTGACCCCGTCTTTTATATTTTACCAACAAATTGGGCATTATATTCTGTTTCTGTGCACTAAATTTCACATTAATGGATTGTATCCTAAAAATACTTGTTTGATAAACATTTGCGCAAATACCGTGCGACATAAAAAATTGCAACCACCATCTTTTTATTCTACAGGGCCTCTGCTTTCAGAAAATGTATTATTGTTTGGGGGTCTGAAGCTGTTTTCTAGCCAAACAGTCAGATTTTATCAAGTGTGTGCAAATGTAAGAAATTGCTCTGGACAGCAAGTGGTTAACATCCTCCTTATACAAGCTGAAGCCTCAAGGCCTTATAGAAGGATGGAGTTCCCAGGTTCCTGCAGTGATAGCTTGCCTTTAAATCAGGCCTATTGCTCTCCTGAACTGTTAGGTCTGTGACTGTCATTAGCTCAGGTGGTACCACAAGTCCCAGCATTCCAGACACCGCACAGTAGAACATGTAGCTGCCCAGGGCTGCCACAGTGATTGCTGTTTGGTCCTTCACATCATGTTGGTCCTTTCCTTCAGGTTCACAGCAGAAGAGAAGCAGAAGCGCCACCCATTCTCTTACCTCCCGTTTGGCGCAGGGCCGCGCAGCTGTATCGGAATGAGACTCGCCGTCCTGGAAGCCAAAATGACTCTTTACCGCGTCCTGAGGAAATTCCGCTTTGAAACCTCGTCCCGCACCCAGGTACATACACTATCCTGATGGGATATACAGTACACGTATAGATGGATGTAACCGTGTGCAAGAGCACCATCTGCTGTTTATGGGTCGGTATTACACAAAGCCTTTGCTTGCTGGTCAGCCACTGATCACAGCTATTCATTGGTCAGAAGGGTCTAGAGCAGGGGTAGGAAACCTCAGCCTTCCAGCTGTGGTGAAACTAGAAATCCCATAATGCATCTGTCTCTGGGAGTCATGTCTGTGGCTGTCAGTCTTTACTATGCCTCATGGGAGTTGTAGTTCCACAACAGCTGGAGTGCTGAGGTTGCCTACCCCTGGTCTGGGGGACCCTTCTGTTATTACTGAGGAGAGCATAAGCTTTTAGCTGAAGGGAATGCAGCTGACATGAGGCTTACTGAGCTGGGCAGCTACAAGTGGTTCTGTTCTGCCATAAGCCTTACGTCAGTGGCAGCCAAAGGGTTGGGCTTTGCCACCATTCCATGGCTGGTGACCTTCCTGGGTTTGGATCTGTAGCATCTTCTAGTATCCCTCCGTCTGACCAGAATAATGAAGACGTGTCTCTTCTCTCCTACAGATTCCACTCCAGGTCACCACCGTGTCCACTCTGCGGCCTAAGGATGGGGTGTATGTGAAGGTTGTGGCTCGCTAGCGTCTCCTGCAGGCAACAAGGGGATCCTGGGTGATGGCAAGAAGAACAACCTGTGTCCATCAGGAGCGACCTATCAAAAACTACAACTGAACGAACTCCATGTAAAGTGAATGTGCGCCTAGAACAGCCTTTGCAGGGCGATCACTGACAATTGCTGTCTGCTCAGCAGGCCCTCGAATTACTCAAATGTGACAACCGCCATGGTACAGGTCTTCTACACTTTCATTAAAACGGTTCTCCATCATCTCCTTCCTAATACAGATTGGTTATCATTAATACCGTGTTTCCCCGAAAATAAGACAGTGTCTTTTTTTTTTTTGCACGAAATAAGACACTAGGTCTTATTTTCGGGGGATGTCTTACCTGGCTGCAGCTGTGCTTTGCCGTCCAGGGAGCCACAAACAGGTGGGCGGGCATGCGTGCGGCCGGGGGGGCGTGTCTGGCAGGGGGGCGGGAGGGAGCTGCCTCTCCGCTCGGAACTAAGGAGACGAGGGGGCGGGCATGCGTGCTGCTGGAGGGGGGGCGTGTCGGGTAGGGGGCGGGAGGGAGCTGCCTCTCCGCTCTGATGTCGTCATCCAGAGAGCAACAGCGTGCGGGTAGGTGGACGGGCAAGGGGGAGGGAGCTGTGGCCGGTTTTCACAGCTACCCCGGAAGTAAGATCTAGCGCTATCTTCGGGGATGTCTGTAATATAAGACCTACCCCGAACTAGGTCTTATTTTCGGGGTAGGTCTTATATTACAGACATCCCCGAAAATAGCGCTAGGTCTTATTTTCGGGGGATGTCTTACTTTCGGGGAAACACGGTAGGAGGCTCTGAACCTGCAGGTCGGGAACCAAAAATTGGGGTAAGCCGGTCATACAGGAGACTTACCCATAATCCCAGCACTGCAAGCATGTCCCAGCAGATAAATGCAGATAAGGACATTATAGACAAATTATATCTGCTGATGTTACTTGGTACTAAAGAGAACCTGTTTGCCAGAAGAGGGCACATTCTCATTTTATAGGTAAATTCACTCATTAGGGCTGATTACAAAAGCTTTAAAGAGAACCTGTCACTTTATCGATTCAGAGCAAAGGGACAGGCTCTGCTAAAAGCTGACCTCTTCACAGTTCTCCCATGCTGCACTTTTTTTTGTGGCAGCTTCTGCAAAAATACACTCCACAGGCTGGTGTCCGAGCTTAGATGGAGCACTCATGTCACCCATTGTGTCATGTGACACGGCTCAGGTGTAGCACTGCATCCTAGGAGGAGGTCACATGCTCCTGTAGTGAAGGCGAGTATGGTTGGGGGTGGGCTTTAATCAGACCTTGTGACAGGGTCTCTTTAACAAAAGGATAAGGATTTTTATTTTCAGCCATGTTACTGTCATTTTACATTCTTATTGGACTCAAATGAAAATAACCGTCACTCTTATGGCATTCAGGATCCTTATGCTGGTGTCTTAGTTTTGTGAACCAGAATACCGTTCGGTGTGAGTAGGGATGCACCGATACCGATTTTTCGATATCGAGTACGAGTACCGATACTTTGCTTTTTGTACTTGCCGATACCGACGCAGCTGGGCGGATCTCGACATCGATGTCGGGATCCGCTCCGGCGTCTCAGTATGCTCGCGGTATACTGAGCTTAGGGTGACAGGAGGACGCTAGTTTGTGTCCTCCCGGTACCCTAAGGAGAACTATGGGGAAAAGCCCTAACCCCATAGTTCTCCTTTAAGGAATGAGAAGAATAAAAAGCCGGCAATGATCTAGAATCTGTTTGTAGATTGTCATCACATTTCTTTCTTGCTAGAAAATGTGACTACTGCAGGAGAGTCAATTCCCTAGCACAACTATATCATGTCACTTGAGTTACAGCTCTTAAGTATGCTGGGGCTGCTGGCACGACGTCCAAGATGGCGGCACCCAGCAGCACTTTCCGGGCTTTTGTTTGTCTTTCCAGGTAAATGACATACAGAAAATATGTTCATTGCTCATATAATAATATGGGGAGATTTGTGTTTATATGGTGACAGGGTCTCTTTAAATAAAAGGCAGCACCGCTGATTCCTATGACACATGGATGTATTGTTTTTTATGATGTTTTATAACACTGTGATTCCGATTCCTATGCGTCGCGGCTGCTTTCAAGAGGAATGAAAGTATATTTTCAGCAAGCACAGATTTTGAGTTTTTATTGTTGCTCCAAATGTGTTTTGACATTGTAGCCTGTTGTCTTGTGTAATATTGAGAGTGGTGGATTTATCAAAGCTCGACTGCATCAGATACCTTGTGTTAAAGATCACCTGACAATGCCTTCATCTGCTTTTCTCTCCAGAAGGACGGCACCATCTTTGTTCAGGCATTATATAGGGTTACCATCTACTTCCTGGACTAAGATGCCAATGTCTGTTGAATTCGCAGCTGTGTTCACAAACGTCTGACACATGCCTTCTAGTGAATGGATAGGCTCCATTCTCAGTGATGTCACTGCTCTCTAGTGAAGGGATAGGCTCCATTCTCAGTGATGTCACAGCTCTCTAGTGTATGGATAGGCTCCATTCTCAGTGATGTCACTAGTCTCTAGTGTATGGATAGGCTGCATTCTCAGTGATGTCACTGGTCTCTAGTGTATGGATAGGCTGCACACTCAGTGATGTCACTGGTCTCTAGTGTATGGATAGGCTGCATTCTCAGTGATGTCACCGGTCTCTAGTGAAGGGATAGGCTGCATTCTCAGTGATGTCACCGGTCTCTAGTGAAGGAATAGGCTCCATTCTCAGTGATGTCACCGGTCTCTAGTGAAGGGATAGGCTCCATTCTCAGTGATGTCACCAGTCTCTACTGAAGGGATAGGTTTAATTCTCAGTGATGTCAGCGGTCTCTAGTGAAGGGATAGGTTTCATTCTCAGTGATGTCACCGGTCTCTAGTGAAGGGATAGGCTCCATTCTCAGTGATGTCACTGGTCTCTAGTGAAGGGATAGGCTCCATTCTCAGTGATGTCACCGGTCTCTAGTGAAGGGATAGGCTCCATTCTCAGTGATGACACCGGTCTCTAGTGTATGGATAGGCTCCATTCTCAGTGATGTCACCGCTCTCTAGTGAAGGGATAGGCTCCATTCTCAGTGATGTCACTGCTCTCTAGTGAAGGGATAGGCTCCATTCTCAGTGATGTCACCGGTCTCTAGTGATTGTATAGACTTCAAGCATTCCCACACACCAGCTCAATGAATCTCAACACTCCCTCCTCACACAATACTTGCTCATTTTGCACAAGTACTTTATTACTGAAAATATTATCATTTTACAAAACTTTAAAGCTCTAGACGTTAGTATTTGTTCCATCTGAACCTCTTCAGACATTGATCAGGGCAAACATCACACAATTCGGAATCAAATAAAATAAGAGATTTGGAGTGTGAGAGGAAACGAAGGGTTGTGACAAACCAATGACTGGAAAAACTGAAATGATTAAAACAGAAAGAGCAGAAACAGGAGAGCGATGAAAGGTGCTCACACACACACAAGACTTTCACTGCCGATCGGTTTTTGCTGCAAAAGAGACGTACAAAAGCTACCGGACTTACCGGCTGCAAAATGGGAGCAAATTCACATCTATAAAGAGGTCCTGTCTATTACCTTTAGGTGGTGTTGACCTGCATTCTGTCCTTCTAATCCAGGGGTAGCCAAACTCTGGTCCTACAACTGCTGTGGAACTACAAGTCCCATAGGGCACACCTTCCAGAGACATGATGGAGTTGTAGTTTTTAGGAATGCACCGATACTAGTATCGGTGCCGATGCAGAGTATTTGGGCGAGTATTCGTACTCGCCCAAATGCTCCGATGCCTAGCCAGATACTTCCGGTAGCAGGAAGCCAGACAGCGAGTCATTACACGTTGCCTGGCTTCCTGATTGGCCGGGAAGGCAGCTTCATGCTCCCTTGCCACCTTGACCAGGCGACGTGTAAAGACTCAACACCCAGCTTCTCGATTAGCAGAGAAGCCATCCCCATGCTTCTCGTCACCTA